AATGATGGTGCTTTGATAATCTTCATTACGCAAACATATAAGTGAAACATTTTTGTTAAAATTACAAGTAAATTCTCATTGTAGTAATTTAAGATAAATTACTTCCCTACTATAAAATAACTGTACTTTAGATTCAAGTTATAGTATCAATGAGAAACCACCTGAAACACTGCCTCCCACAAAACAAATGAATCTCAGAATACACATCATTTGTGTTGCTGGGTGTTTTTTGTTTTGTTTAGTTTTGTTTTGTTTTTGGTTTCTTGTTTTGGATTTTGGCCTGGGAGAAGAGGGATTAGAATAGTGGTCTGCAGTCAAACGCATGACAATTTTGAATTACCAAATCTTGGATGTAGTAAAAATAATGCTCTCCTGAATTCAGGAGAAAGAAGCTAATTTACTTAATTTTATCTAGGTAGTCTGAATAATGAAAGTTCTAGCAAATCCATTCCATGAAAATGAGTTTCTTTATTTAAAAAGCAAACTAAAATTTGAGTGGCCTCTAGTAAAAACAAAAAGGTAATACAAATTCCTCATCTCCCACCCCATGTCTAACATGCAGTGAGATGTAACAGGTTTATTAATTGGACAATAGATTGATAACCAAAACATCATGGTTCCTGGGACGCCAAGATTAATCTCTTAAATATGAACGGATATTTTGGAAACACTGGCATATGAGTAACCAGTCATAAACAATTCCTCTGCTGAGTCACACAGCCTGATTTTTCAGGGATAAGAAATTCCTCTCAAACATTGCCTTTTGAGGAGCAAACGTACTGCACCAACATTCGGCCCCACAATTCTGTAGGGACTGGATAGGAACCTCACTCTAATCAGGTAACACTCCAATCAACTTTGCTGAAAAACAGTTTTGCAACTATAAATAACTTGATTTCCTGTGCTCAGCATTAAGTGGCAGTTGAGACTGCAGGGTTTTTTGAAATTTGCTAAGGAGGCTTCCAGTGTGTGATATTTGTTCAGGCTGAAAAGAAACTAACTCTTAAAGAAAAAGGGAGGCCAGGCGTGATGGCTCACACCTGTAATCCCAGTACTTTGGGGGGCAGAGGCAAGAGGATGGCCTGAGCCCAGGGTTTCAAGACCAGCTTGGGCAACTGGACAAGACCTTGTCTCTATAATAAAGCATGAAAAAATTAGCTAGGTGTGGTGGTGGTGCACGCCTGTAGTTCCAGTAACTTGGAAGGCTGAAGCAGAAGGATCACCTGAGCGCAGAAGGTAGAGGCTGCAGTGGTCGTGAGTGTGCCACTGTACTCCAGCCTGGGTGACAGAGTGAGGCTCTGACTCAAAAAAAAAAAAAAAAAAAAAAAAAAGGGAAGGGGGAATGTAGTCTTTACCTTTACCCCAGTAGAATACTTTTAACACTATTAGAGAAGACCCACTTTACTATTTTTGTGTCTTAACTGCTGGGAAAATGACATGTCTACAACAAGCCATACAAGATAACGCTGCTCACCATCACTGACTGAGCAGCGGGGTCTAGTCCGGGCTCCCTTGTGCAGACTTCACCCCACGTCAGTCAATGCTTCCAAGACCTGGGACCTCAGCACAGGTACCTACAGTGAGATGGGACTTGGAGACTGTGTGCCCACACTCTACCTTGAGAGCTGGACATTTATGAGGGCCAAGTGCAGTACACAATGCAGGAACACAAACTGGCACAGACCAGTCTGAAACGCCTACTACTAGTGTTCAGCTGGTATACCCAACCCACTGCCCAGGATGGCTCATCTAGTGAACCCCCACCCATCGTCACAACCACTGCTGTCTTTCAGCACATCTTCTTCCCAGTCAGACAACTAATCTCATAAACAAGAGCCACGTTTTACTTCCATTCTCCATGACCCATTCTAATGATGTTTTTGCTAACCTTTTACTAGCAAAAAACTTTACAGTATGGGGGGAAGAAACCAGGGGTGACATAACCCATCGCAAACATGGGGAAGTTACGACAGTTAAAGAAATGCACCAGCCGGGCATGGTGGCTCAAACCTGTGATCCCAGCACTTTGGGAGGCCGAGGTGAGGGGACTGCCTGAGCCCACAGGTTCAAGAACAGCCTGGACAACTTGGCAAGACTTCATCTCTACAATAAATGAAAAAATTATAGCTGGGTGTGGTAGCACGCGCCTGTAGTTCCAGCTACTCAGAGAGCTGAGGTGAAAGGATTGCCTGAGTCCAGCAGGTCAACGCTGGGGTGGCCATGAACATGCCACTGCACTCCAACCTGGGCAACGGAGTGAGACTCCAACTCAAGGAAAAAAAAAAAGAAATGCATCATTTCTTCTTCTCCACTGTAGCTGATCTCCGTGGCAGCTGATCTTGTTTATGGCTCCCGGGCTGGTGCTGACTTGCTTAAAAAGCTCAGAATGCCACTGGGATCCTGCTTCTGTCTTGCTGTGAGGGGTGGAGCTCACCAAATCTGCTTCCTCCTACCAACTCAGCTCTCCTCCCAGCCCATCTTCTCCATTGGAGAACATTGTCCCCAGACAGGACACAATGCAGAACACAAACTGGCACAGACCAGTCTGAAACGCCCACTACTAGTGTTCAGCTCTATACTCAAACTACTGCCCAGGGTGGCCACTGAGTGACTCCCCATCTAGTGAATCTCCACCCATCGTCACAACCGCTGCTGTCTTTCAGCACATTTCCTTCCCAATCAGATAACTAACCTCATAAACAAGGACCATGTTTTACTTCCATTCTCCATGTTCCACTCTAATGATGGTTTTGCTATTTACTAGAAAAGGCTCCTACATGTTCACAATTTCTTTCTTTCTTTTTTTTGAGTTGAAGTCTCACTCTGTGGCCCAGGCTGGAGTGCAGTGGCATACTCATGATTATCGCCACCACGACCTGCTGGTGTCAGGTGATCCTTCTGCCTCAACCTTCCAAGTAGCTGAAACTGTAGGCACGCACCACCGCGCCCGACTAAGTTTTTGATTTATTATAGAGATGAGGTCTCGCCAAGTTGCCCGGGCTGGTCTTGAACCCATGAGCTCAGGCAATCCTCTTACCTCGGCCTCCCAAAGTGCTGGGATTATAGGCGTGAGCCACTGCGCCTGGCTGTAGGTTCACAATTTCTTACTGGAAAGCCCTGGGACCAAATGTGTTTCAGATTTGAACATTTTTGGATTTTAGGAGCGTAATAAGATGCCTATACCATATATTCTCATACGACTCAGACTAGCAGTTTTTAATCAAATACATGATCAAGACTGCAGAGAAATGAATAGATATTTGCACTAGGAGGAATAAATACTCAAAATAGTCTCCCATTGGTCAGGGTACGTGTCACTGCCAAAATGCTGTCACAAACTTATAAACCCAAAACAAAACACAAACATTATTGTTTTCAGAACGTATTGGGTTCTGGAATGGGGGGTGTGTGACAGTGGGCCTGGGCCAATCAAGCATACTCGACTGGACCCAGTCCTGACTCTTCCAGCAGTATTTCCACAAAGTAATCGTCTGAAGCCAGACCTGCCCAGGAGGCTCCATATTAAGTGACAGACATTGAAGCCAGTGCCTTCCCTTCCCCGGGTGTAACTGCACTTCTACATACTCCTCTGATCAGTCTCCTTCCCTTCCTCACATCCTCTTCTCAATGTTTACTCCTTCTTTCTCCAAAGGACTCTCAGCCAGCAGCCGGTTCTTCTTAATGTCCACCCAGTTCTTGCCATCTATGGCTTGCACGAGTTGCTCCTCAGAACACCAGCATCTCTCAGCAGCATTCCCACCCTTCCCTTCTTCAGAGAACCTTTCCCTGATGGTGATTCAAGGGTCTCCTGGCAGGTTCCCAGGCTTCTAGGACCTAATTAGGTTAGAGGGTAGTATGAACCAGCTACAAAAGCCTGGCCCGCTGCCAGTACTTTACATGAGGTCATAGAAAAAGTACACTAAAATGGACATTAAAAAAACAGGAGCCACCTGCCAAGCTACGAACTTAAGGAACTTAATGTTCAAGTGTGCATTCACCAGACTGCTTCATACCTCTCTGGCATTTCCTAAGACGCTCTCTCAAGGTCAGGGCAGTCTTATTCATCCTGAATCTTCCACACACACCCAGCAGATGATTAATTTCTGATGAAAGAGTGATTGTTTTGGGCTCATACTTTTATCAAGGTCCCACAACAATCTGATAAAGTGGAAATCTAGTGTCCCCCCCACCCTCTCTGAAGTACTAACTCCATAAAATATTTCTTTACCAAAGTGAACCCTTTCACTTTTAAATATTCCCACTTACGACCCGTCACAAGCTACATGAAAATGGGTAATTTCAAACCCCTGCCCAACTTTAATGCAAAACTGCCCTGACATCTATTGTTCCACTACTAGGTGCTGAGCTGGGTAACGGCAAAATTCTACAGCTAGAGGATCCTGGCCTGGCTGGGAAGACCCTGGGAGACCAGCCAAAGTGGATTTGGGGTCTGGGGACCTTGGGGGAGGTGATCCTAAGATCCAGATGACTGGATGAGAATGCTCCAAACTACCCTCGCCACTGGTAGTGCCAGCCTCAGGGTGAGGGGTCCGGCTCTGGGAACCAGTTTCTAAGGTGCTTTAGTTTATAAAATACTGAACTCGCAGCTCCGTGTGAAACTCTAGACCAGGCACAGATCTGGCCAGAATCAAACAGCTGGGCAGAGACTGTCAAGAGACCATCACCACAGGCAGAGGGGAGCGACCATGTGCCTTTTCGTCCTTGGAAGGGGCGTCCTACTATAATAAAACGTGCTTTCCGGCGCGCAGCGAGGGACACCACACACCGGGCCATTAACTGGACAGCGGGCAGCGTCAGCTCCTACCCTCACATCCTCCCGTTGGACGTTCACTGGAGGGGTCGCCCGGCGGGGCCACCCCACGCGACCTCTGCGGCAGAAGGTGCCGCCTGCCCTTGACCTTGGAACAATCAGGAACCCAACTCAACAAAGACCTTTCGCAGTCAGAAAAGAAAGTTTCGAAAACGTGTTTTCCTCTTACCAGTTTCTGAGCTTCTGGACTCAGACAGTCTATTTCCTTGTTCTGCGAGGCCGGAGGGTCGGGCATCCTGCCCGGCTACAGACCCAACTTTTCACACCGCCGGAAAGACGCTCCGCAGAGCCGGGTCCGAGGGTCCGCAGCAGGCGACCCCTCAGCGCAGTCTCACCCTCGAGCGAGGAGACTTCTGCCCGCGGAGACCAGGCGGCTGGCCGAGGGGAAGACGGGCGCTTCCGCAGGCACAAGGCGCCCTCTCGCTAAGGGAGGGACTCGGCGGTCCCGGGCCAGGGCGCGGCCGGCAGGGGCGGGGCGCAGGTGGCCGCGGGCTCCGCCGGGCAGGGCGGGGAGGACA